GTCTGTGTGCGTGTCTGTGTGTGTGTCTGTGCGTGTCTGTGTGTGTGTCTGTGTGTGTCTATGTGTGTGTGTCTGTGTGTGTCTGTGCATGTCTGTGTGTGTGCCTGTGCATGTGTGTGTGCCTGTGCATGTCTGTGTGCATGTCTGTGTGTGTGTCTGTGCGTGTCTGTGTGCGTGTCTGTGTGTGTGTCTGTGTGCGTGTCTGTGCGTGTCTGTGCGTGTGTCTGTGTGTGTCTATGTGCGTGTCTGTGTGTGTCTGTGCGTGAGGTGAGGGCGTTGCCTCCTTAGAGGAAGGACGGGAACCGGGGACGAGGCGCTGGTTCTCCCTGTGGGAGCTGCGTGAGGCGAGGACCCCATGGCCCCGGGCCAGCGTGCTCCTGGGGATGGGACCCCCCATCCACACTCCACCCTCACCCCTGACCCCTCTACTCCCGGGGAAGCAGCCCCCTAATCGTGTCCTGCAGCCACTCCCTGTGCACGGAGGCTGCTCAGGTGGGCAGGCCCTGCTCACACCTTCCTCCCCCTCCTCCTCCTCCTCCTCCTCCTCCTTTTTCTCGCTGAGCTCGGCACCTGTTCTGGCTGCACTTCCCCTGGCCTCACTCACTGTTTCCCCTCAGAAGAGCCCTGCACCCTCTGTCCTTCACGTCCATCCCGGCCGTAGGGGCATCGGGAGGCAGCACGAGCTTCCTGTCCACATCACGTCTCGGGGTCATGTCTTACTTTGTTGTTTGCAGTGACCAGGCACTGGTGCTGCTCCTCCCAGTCCCGGCCCAGCCAGTGACACCGGACTCCCCGCCCAGGTCCCGGGGGAGGAAAGGGACCCGGAGGCCACGGGGGCTCCAGACACCTCAGCCGATCTCCGACCTCCACAGGCCCTGCTCCCCGGCCCCCAAGACGGCCTGGCCCTGCTCCCCGGCCCCCCGAGACGGCCTGGCCCTGCTCCCCGGCCCCCGAGAGGACCTGGCCCTGCTCCCCGGCCCCCAAGACGGCCTGGCCCTGCTCCCCGGCCCCCCGAGACGGCCTGGCCCTGCTCCCCGGCCCCCAAGACGGCCTGGCCCTGCTCCCCAACCCCCGAGATGGCCTGGCCCTGCTCCCCGGCCCCCGAAAGGACCTGGCCCTGCTCCCGCCCACAGAGAAATACTAACTTCCGGGGTCAGGGCCACGTGTCATGTGACTTCCATCCCAGCCAGAGAAGAGAATTACCACCTGTCACAGGGAGAGGAAGAACGGGAGGGGCCGGGGGCCGGGGTCAGGACTAGCGCTGGCGACAAGGTCCCTGGGAACTGCCAGGCTGCAGGCTGTGCCATCAGTGGGATCTGTGAGGCTGGACGACAAGTGCAGCCCAGACCTGCAGCCCCCCTTCTCAGGAGCCCCCCAGCCCCGCGCCCAGCCCAGCCCTGTGCCCCGCGCCCAGCCCCACACCTGGCCCTGCGCCCGGCCTGGCGTGGGGCTCCCACCGAGGCCAGGACCACCTGAAGGACCAGCAAACACCGGGCTTGGCGCCTCCTCTCCCTGGAGGGTGCGAGGCCCGTGCCTCAGGTCTCACGCCTCCGCGGCGTCAGCAAGGACATTTCATGTTTATAATAAGTCTGTGCCGTCTGCTTCGCAAACTATAACCGTTGGTGCGGCTGCGGGATGACGGGCGTTTTGAACTTGACCTAAAACTCTCGAGTTAAAGTCATCACATGCCTGTGGGAAGGCTCCCTGCGCTCACCCAGGGCCTTGTCTGGGTGAAGGTGGGGATGGCCCCACGGACACTCTCCCGGGCCCTGGAGCCCAGCTGGCCGTGCGCGGGGCTCAGGCAGCCCTCAGAGGCTCAGGCAGCCCACGGGGCCGAGACTCCGTTTATTAAAGTCACTCAGGGGGGCCGTGACCACCCCTCGGCCCCTCCCGCCTCCCGCCTGCAGGCCCAGCTGCACCCTCCACTCGACGGCGGGGATGGGTCTGCTCCTGGGACAGGACGGCTGTTAGAAGTTCCCACAGCAAACCTGAGCCTGGACTCTCCTCGCAGGAGTCACTCGGGTTCCTTACAGAGACCCCCCCCCCCCGCAGTGCGTGTACCCCCTCCCCACCCCGCCCCCACCTCCTTGCGCCGTGAAGGCCCCGCGGGTGTCTCAGCCGGTCTCTGCGCGGCCCCTGGGCCAGGCCAGACTTGGGCAGGGCTGTGTCCACCACAGGGAGTCAGGCGCCCCTCCAGGGAGCACCCCTGCCTTGCCCTCCCCGCCCTCCCCTCGCCCAAGCCGGCTCCCATCCCCTCCGCACTCCCAAGCTCCAAGGGCCCGCCTTTGCTCCAGAGCTGGTCTTCCTCAGCCCGTGTCTCCTAGGAATTACGTTTTCTGTCTGATTTACCGAATCAGTGTTCTCTTGCAAAATGAAAAGCGAATCCATCGGGGCTCACTCTTCCCCTCGGCGAAGCCCCCTGTCCGAGCAGAGGAGGAAGGACCCCACCGCCCAGAGCAGCAGAGCTCAGGCCCAGCCGCCCAGCCTTACTCAGGGCGCCACCCGGCGGCTCCCCAGGGAAACGCGGCCGAAGCCCCTGCAGCACCCACAGGGGGGAGGGGAAGCAGCACTGAGAGGCCCCGGCTCTCCTGCAACAGCAGCTCCAGACCCGACGCAGGACACCCAGCAAGGCTTGTTGTGGGGGCTCACTCCTCACGGCAGAGCCCGCGACCCTCGCCCGTGTCTCCACCCCCCGGGTGCCCACTGAGGGGCACGGGCACTCCCAGGGGCACGGCCTGGGCGGGACCACCGCGCCCTCAGCTCTGACCCGGAAGGACAGCCGCGTGGTCCCAGCACCTTCTTCACCTGAAAGCCTGGCCACCGGCCACAGGCGGGAGCCGCCGAGGTTCTCGCCTCCTGCTTCCCTCTTCCCGCTAGGCGTGCGGGACAGAGCAGAGCCTGCAGGGCGGAGCAAGTGGTCTCCCTTCCTCCTGGCGCCACGGGAGGCCTGTGGCACCTGCAGCCCAAGCAGCGCCTCGCCCCAGCCCCTCCGTCTGCTCAGGGCCACGCCGCCTCCACCCTTTCCCAGGAGAACCCCCAAGTGGCCAGGGCCCTGGTGACCTCACACATGCAGGAGACGGTGCAGCAAGGTCTGAGGGAGGGAGTCCCAGCGCCCGGCC